GTTTGCAGGTTTCATACAGACTATTGGCTTTCGAGGATGTAAGGCCGACACTTCCCTCTTCATCTTCTCTCAGCCCATGGGCACGGCCTACCTGCTCCTATATGTTGATGACATTGTACTGACGGCATCCTCCGCTACACTTCTCCAGAGTCTCATTCAGCAGCTTAAGGCTGAATTCTCCATGACAGACATGGGCGACTTGCATTTTTTCCTCGGGATCAACGTGCATCGTACTGCCACTGGCCTCTTCCTCCACCAGACTTAATTTGCCCACGACATTCTTGAGCGGGCAGGGATGGTCTCCTGCCGCCCCATCTCTACTCTAGTGGACACGAAGGCAAAACTATCTACCACGGCTGGCTCGGCTCTCTCCGACCCCTCCTTTTACAGGTCTATCGTTGGCGCGCTGCAGTATCTTACATTCACTCGTCCTGACATCACATATGCTGTTCAGCAGCTCTGCTTACATCTTCATGCTCCACGTGATGTTCATCTCACTGCCATGAAGCGCGTTCTACGCTATCTTAGTGGCACCGCCACCCACGGGATCCAGTTGACACGTTCAGCCACAGACTACCTACAGGCTTATTCTGATGCAGATTGGGCTGGCTGTCCCGACACTCGCCGTTCCACATCGGGTTACTGTGTCTTCCTGGGTGATAATCTCGTTTCCTGGTCATCCAAACGCCAGGCCACCACCTCTCGTTCCAGTGCCGAAGCTGAATATCGGGCAGTTGCCAATGCTGTAGCAGAGACCTGCTGGATCCGGAACCTTCTTCTTGAGCTACAACAACCACTTCGTCGCGCCACAATCGTCTCCTGTGACAATGTCAGTGCTGTGTACCTATCATCAAATCCGGTGCAACATCAGCGCACCAAGCACGTCGAGGTCAATATACACTTTGTACGCGATAAAGTGGCACTTGGTCAGATCAAAGTTCTCCATGTTCCTTCATCTTCTCAGTTTGCCGACATCTTCACGAAAGGACTGCCCTCCCTCTTATTTCTTGACTTCAGAGAGAGCCTGGGCATCCGACCCCCAGCGCATCCGACGTAGCCGGGAGCATGTTAAATATATAAAATATATTTAATATTATTGTATTATGATTTGTTTCCATAGTTGTATAGTTTCCTAGAATATCTTCTCCTAACATAACTAGGATTGAGACTTTGTATATATATACATGTATTCCTCTCATAATTAATCAATGAAAATACCACTTCTTCACCAAACATAAGTCTCTAACTCTCCACTACTCGGTGAAGTCCTTACGTGTAACATCTCGTTCCGGGCCTTCCAAATTGCGTGGCACACTACTCCCTAAGCTACAATTCAAACTGATCTTTCTCTCCTATTACTATGAACTTTTAGATACTCATAGAAATGATCTAAAGAGACTGCCTGTATATTACACCCAAGTAGTATCGAAACTATGTGGTATATCTTCTTGACAAAGACATGTTCCCAAAATAGATGATCTTTGTCCTCCATTCCAGTGAAAAGAGGCACTCTACACTTATGTTTTAAGAAGTTACTTAATCTCATTCTATAGTTTGCAATTTGTCCTTTAACATCAATTAAAGATTGAATTGATGTTTAGGGATAGAAAGCTCGTTCCATACCAAGCTAGTCCATTCGTTCTTTGTTATATTGCTCACTAGTTGACTATAACCTTCTTCTAGAGAGCAATCTCCACTCGTAGGCATCCTCAAACTTCTTCATCACCTTTTTCATTCTCCTCCATTCGGCTCTTTAAGAGATCAAGTGGTACCTAAGTGTTTCCTGGAAGGATCAATTTATTATTGTGTCATGATCCCAAGGATTGGCTCGAAGAAATTATTCTATTAAAGATATTCAGGCAAAGTGAAAAGTGTGAGATGGTGAGAATTGGCAAGGAGGACAACGTTTGAATATGCAAGAATTTGGGCCAAGGGATCGTCCCAGACTAGGCCTCGCCTGGTGCCTCGGTCTCCGTGCTAAAACCTATCGGTTTTGATGCGTGGAGTGGGTAGCATATTGGATATCAGATATTTATCGAGGCCTCGGCCCAGGTTGGGGGAGGCTCGGCATCTTGGGCCGATTTTTTGCCCATTTTCTTCATCAATTCTTTTTCTTTTTAGCTTTGAAGTCCAAATCTCATCCCAACTCTTCTAGTAAATTATTTTGAATGAATTTCTCCTCTTTCTTGATGGATTTTTTTTATGTATTATCAGATTTAGTTGCAAATGAACTTTTTATGAATAATTTTAAAAAACAACCAACCATTTTTATTGTGAAAAACATTTTTATACACTCATTACTAATTTACGTGCCATAACGTTTAAGATATGAAGTCAAAAATAAAAACGAAAAGAAATTATCAAAAAGACAAAAATAATAATAGTTTTTGTGTTATATCATACAGGACAACGAGACAGAATGAGAAAATATTTATGTGTCTCTCTTTTGTCCCATTTTAAAATGGTTTGGAACAGGTTCGGGAAAAAACTTTGTCATCCCAATCAAAATGGAACATTATATATAAAGACGAGGTTGAGATATTTCGGGTCGGGACAACGAGCTGGAAATTCTTCTGCACCCCTAGACGAGAGTGTCGAGATGGTCTTGCATGAGAAACATCCTATTGATAGCGTCCAAGACAGGATGAGGATGTGTATTCCTGCATCTAGTGCGCCACCCCATCTATTTTTATTTCAAATTATTTGATTCATTTTTATTTTTCATTTTACTATGCATATTTTGTTAGAATAGTGAGGCATGAGAATGTTTATAAATTTTCACGGAATAAAAATCGCAGGGAAAGTAAAGAGCAGAATAAAAAGGAGTAAAGGGAGCACACCAAGATTTATACTGGTTCACCACAACGTGTGGTTAGTCTAGTCTCCCGAGAGACTCTCTCGAGCTACACTACTTCCTTTAAGCTTACGGGTGCTTAACAAACCGTTACAACCTGAGAACTCGAGTCCCACAAGCCTCAATAACTTGCTCGAAGATACTGCACTCCAAGACTTCAACCCGAAGGAAAATACCTTTCCTTCGTACAACCAAGGGAAACAAGCTTCCCTTAACGTATATACAACAATAAAACACTCAAGAACAAATACTCTCTTTTAGAGTGGATATTGAGTAAAATATATATGCTCTAGAACAACTCAAACTTCACACAATTTGGCTCTAGAAAGCTATGGAAAATGATGTTGTTTGAATGCAATGATAATATGAATATTCTGAAGTGAATTATATGTAAAGCAGACCCAAACACTCCTTTTTATAGTGCCAAAATAGACTCCAACGGATCAAGGCATTAAAGGGGTGATTGGCATGATTTATGGGTTTGATATTAAAATGTGGATCTGCAGGATATTGGCTTTCCCAGCGATGTATGGACCTACCCATCGCTGGTAAGCCAATTTTCCTTCAGTTTTGAAGCCAACGGTCACCTATCCATCGATGGGTAAATGCTTCCCATCGCTGGGTGGGAGGTTGACTTTCAAACAAGGAATGAATCAGCCTTAAATGACTCACAATGGTCATGCCTAACCAGCGATGGGTATGCCATCGTTGGGTTCCCATCTATGGGTAAAGGTTCCCATCGATGTGTAAGGGCATTCTGCCTTGTGATAATGTTGGACCAAGGCTTGAACAACGATGGGTAGAACTTCCCATCTCTGGTTGGCATGGTTCTGGAAATCAGTTGGGCTGAAGGCTGCTTACCCATCGATGGGTAATATCTCCCATCACTGGGTGGCATGATTCTGGAATCCCTAGATCACTTACCCATGGATGAGTGATATCTACCATCGCTGGGTAGATGGCTAGCCCAGAACCATGGCCTAGCTGACTGGCGCAGAAACTTGACCGAAAAATGCAAAGTTCTCCAAAGTAAAAAATAAGTGTTTAAAACACTTATTTAATGTATTTTATGAAGAAACCAAGTATAAAAACTTAAAAACCACTTCATTAAGGTAAAAACCATGGCTAGCCAAGTTTATGCCGTTTCACATGGTTTTTGCCAAACGACCAAAAACGAGAGATGGTTTTTGAAGCGTTTTTGTTGGAGAACTATTTAAAAGTGCCCAGAAGTAAAAACCAATCATATAATGTTGAAAACCACTTGGTTGGTTCGGACGCCAAAAACCAATACCGATAACCGAATGCCGAACGCCGGTTTCTGAGAACCGAATGCCGGTTTTTGAAAGCCGAACGTCGGATGGCTTGGTTTTTGGTTTGGGCGAACACCAAGTGTTTTTAATGTGTTAAACATGTTTGAAAAACATTTTTATGATATGTGAAATGCAATAAAAATGTTTTAGCCTAAAGAGCCAAGGTGTGAGGTTTGGGTCGGTCTTGATCACATTTGTGACTGACTCAACGACATTAAAACTACAGTCTTCATTCTTGGTCTTCTTTTAGCTCTTGTTCTTATCTTCATTTCTCGGCTTGTATATTCAACACTTTGTCTTGATCACGACGGTTTGACATTATCAAAACCTGTCATAAAAACGAACACGCCTTTAGTACGAAAACGTGATAAACCCGTGTTTCAACATATTTTTTAACGAACTATATCTAATTCTCTTTTTAATTTATAACTATTTCATATTTTAGTTTTATTATTTTTCATAAACCTTTCACTTGCATCTTCTTCTTTATTAACTTTAATTATAAACATTAATTAATATTTTATATTAGGTACTTACATTCCTTCGACCTAGTGTATTTGTTTAGTTTGAATTTTTTGAATAAAAAAAAGATGAACTTTGAGTCTTGGTGCCAATGAAGGTAGGATCGAACGAGACCAAAATACTTAGGACCGATTGGTCCGGACTGAATAACGATATATTTTGTAATTATTTTAATCTATTAATTATATTTTAGACTTTTTAATTTGTATAATGCAAATAAGAAAAAAATAAAACTGACAAACTAGAAATAGAAAAACAACATTGACTAGTTAAAAAAACATTGACTAGTTTATGTATTTTATATAATCATAAAAACTACTCAATATGAAACTATATTTTTTGAATTGTTGGAAAAAAATGACTTCATTCAAAAACGTTTCTAATTATATAAATTAGCATACCATCAAAATAGAGCATCAATGTGTAACAACGAACATAAAGAATAGAATTTTAGTATTTAGGGGTTATAGGTCAAATAGGTGTTTTAGGTCCACACGATCGAGATCTTAATGATTTCAAGTTTGGACCGGACTGGACCAAAAATAAAACACCTAAATTTTTGGGTCAAAGTCCGATTGGAATAAGATTTGGTCCCGTTCTCTCTTCTCCAACGACGTTAGTAGCTACTAGTGCACGTCAGGCTTCTCTCTTCTCCAACGACGTCAGCAGCCACCAGCGCGCGTCAGATTTCTCTCTTCTCCAACAACGTTAGCAGCTACTAGTGCACGTCATACTTCTCTCTTCTCCAACGACGTCAGCAGCCACCGGAGCATGTTAGACTTGTCTCTTCTCCAACGACGTGAGCAGCCACCGGCGCACGTCAGACTTCTCTCTTCTTAAAGTTTTCATTTTCCAGTTAGTGTCCAAGCTTTCTCTTGCTTCAGCCAGAGTTCAGCTTGAGGGGGGATGTTAGACAATAATACTAATATTACTTCTGGTAGTATTGGTTATACTAGTGTTTCATTATTAGTCAGCTTTCTAATCCTATTTGTAGTAGATGTATTTTAGTTAGTCTCCATTTTCTATTTCTAATTGTGTTAGGATCGGAGTTTCTTCTATATATACCCTATCATGTACTTCATAATTCAAGGAGAGCAATATTATTATTCCAATATTTCAACAGGCTCACTGATAATACGTCCTTGTTATATTTAGATTAAATGCCTCATGACAGTGGAGTTTGGTTCTCCAAAACGAGATTGGACAGAATATGCATGTACGACTAGTTCAAATTGTCAAATGGAGATTCGACAATACAGAAATGTCTTAAGGTATGTTAGATGCATTCCCACCTTCTCAGTCCCATGGATTCTGTGCAAAATGTAATTTGAATATGTAAGTATGAATAATCCATTTTCATACCTAAAAGTTTCCTCCCTATTTTATTTCCCTAGCTTTATATGTGGATCCAAACATACCCTTAAAAGAGAATATATATAATAGAAGAAAATATTCAATAACATAGTTTTTACAAAGAGCTTGAATTTTCTTCATAAGTTATGCTTATCCTTAACTTATTATATTTTGCTGTTGGAAGCCATTCTCACACATTATCATGTTACTCAGATGGCACATGTTGCTGCCAAGTCATCTATACAAGAGAGGAATTAATCAAAGTTGGTTATTAATTGTGTTTCTCATGACAACAGAAGCTTGCTCTTTCAAGAGAAGGAATGAGGATCGTAGATAAAATGGGTGCAAGTAATCATCCTATAGGAGATAGTTTAGAATACTACTTTTATAATTTGGAATTGAATTGTGTAAGTTGGAGTTGAATTCATGCTCAATTATAGTCCATGTGTTAGGGTAGTTCTTGTTTTCTAATTATCCATGTTTTCTCTCTTATGGATTTGTGATACTATTGAATTTGATATTTTTTTTTAAAATAAAAATTGACTTTACACAGCGGATAAATATCCGCTGCTGTGTAAACTATATCATTTTTTAAGAACCCTTACACAGCGGATAAATATCCACTGTGTAAACATGATACCTATTGCACCGGTCACATACACATCGGTTGATTTGCGCTGTGAAATGTCAAATTTATCCGCTGTGTATTCCCTATCCTGTAGTAGTGCAGGCCAAAAAAAACAAGAGTTATCAAAATATGCGAATTACATCTCTAATGTCATATTGGAAGCTATTATATTCAATTTTCTTTCAATTTGAATCACGACACTTGCATGTGATCAACACCGGGGAATATATATTGGTAGTTTTTCATAAGAAAATAGTGTATGGAATTAACTTCGGGGGAGAAATTGGTAGGTTTACATAAGGCCCCGTTTGGTACACGAAATTCAAAGTATATAATTAGAATTGAGGTTTTCAATTCCAATTATAGTGTTTGGTAGCACAAAAATTATGTGGATTTTGCAAAAAAAAAGAATGGAGGAATTGGAGGAAATGAGGGTAAGGCAGATAGAAAGGATGAAATCCTTCCCGGACGATTCCTTTTCCGACGATTCCTCTTCCGACGACGATGAGATGTTATCATAATGAGATAGTATCCATTATCTAAATATTTTTTAATAGTAAGATTTGATATTTTTTAAAAATAAAAGTTGTGGTGTTAATAATGATGCACATTCATTAAAATTTAAATATAATTTTGTTTTTGAAAAGTAACAAAAAGGAAAAATGGTGTGTAGCTTTAAATTTTATTTTAAAAGTAATAATAAAACTTACATAATTTTATTTTTAAAATAATAAAACAATTGTGTAGATTAAAAAATTAGAATAGGGAAATACATATTGGTATAATACTTATAAATGTAAAATTTAGGCAAAATTATTGGTTATCAAATTGAAGAATAATAAAAGTTATTTTAATCAATGAATAATTAAAATAATAGCTAATTTTTTTAAAAACTCATATAATCTTTTTTGAAAAGTAACAAAATAAAACAAAGGTGGATAAAACTAAAAATATATTTATAATGACTGTTTTAAATTAATAAAATATATATATATTTTTTAAATAATAACATAATAAATACATCATGGGGTGTATATAGTTGACATGGTAAATTTAGTATTTTAGCGGGTGTGACTATCACTACTCATAGTAAATAGCTTGACATTTGTTAAAAAATTAAATTTTCACTCTTATTAAAAAGTTTACATCTAAAAGCTCTCAATCAAAATTTCTAAAATTGGATGAGTTAAAATGTCTAAGAGTTACGGAGGAGGAAAATAGCGTACAAGTTTATGTGAGTAATATTTACAAGATCTTCAAAATGAGAAGTGTAATGAGTCATCTACGACTAAGTCAATTTTTTTTGTGTATAAAAAATTCTGATGTTTCATTTATTGATAATTTAGCATAACGACTTTAATATTATTTTATTTATTTATTTTTAATTATACATTTTTTAAAACTAAAATATATTGTAGAATTTTTAGGCAAAACCGTAAAACTAGTCCGGAAAGAGTGTCTACGGAAGTCACTCGCCCAATTGGGACCCCTACGGTGCTCTGTTCGCAAAACTGGTAATTCCTACACCTAATTCCACGGTAAACCCTCACTCGGACTCAATTCATCTCTCCAACCACGTCAATTGTAGGGTGCAAGTTTAGTTGACTTTGCAATTTTTGACTCCAAAATCAACTAAACTTCATTCTGCAATTGACGTGGTTGGGATGAGTTGAGATCAAGAACAAACAAGAATCTATCAGGAATTAGAGAGGAAAACTATCATTTTTTTGAACCACACTAGTTTTTAAACAAGAAGATAATCTATAATGTAGCCAACTCTCCATTTGGAGAAAGGGAGAGAGAGAGACATAGTTGACTCTAAGATGGGTGGCTCGGAAGGACGAAGCCACTAATATTGTCATTATTATGGCGTCCTTTTCTGTCCCAGTGATTCATAAACCCACACACTATAGGCACCTGCCCCCGAAAAAAAAGTTTAAAAAAGAAAACTCATCCTAATTAAAGAAGTCTCTATTAATATACTAGAAGCAGAAATATCACACTTTCTGCATTCTCCACCCCTATCTCCAAGTAGCACCAAAGGTACCATTTTTTTTCTCCTTCTTGAACATACACAAGCGTTGTATTTAATGTGTTTTAATGTGAGGTTTCAGATCGTTGATGGATCTACTTTGAATTTTGTTTTGGGTATTTTAATCTGTTTATTGATGATATGATTTTGCAGTGATTACTGGGTTTTAATATTCATTGCATTTGAAGTTTAATTTTTTTTTTTAATATTTTATTTTAAGAAAATGTTTAGAAAACCCTTTCCTTGATGGCTTTAAGGGCTGGGAATTTTGTGGGGATCATCAAGAATATGTCAGAATGCATCATGTGGGAAGGCTGTTTTCGTTATTTCTCTTTTTGTTTTTATTAATTTTAAAACAAAAAAAAATCAATAAAGTGTCCTATCGAGTGAGAACTATTATAGTTAAACATCGTATCACTCAAATGATTAGAATTTAGATCTGGAATGGCCATTGTTTCGCTTCTTTATACATGCTCTGTATAAAAAAGAGGACAACTTAAGAATCCATATGGTGGTTCAGAAACCTGGGACGAGTGTTTGTGCTTTATAAAATGAGAAAAGATAATTTCTTTAATTTCACAAGTCAAAGGTTGTGTAAAGTGCCAATGATAATTGAGTGTGGATATGCTGGGGCAGGATGTGAGAAAAAGAAAGGAATAATTAATCAATAATTCTTTGGTGAAAAGTAAAAAAAATCATGGGTTTAATCAAATCTTATTGTCATTATCCTTTTGCTTGCCTTTTTTTATGTACCAATTTGTGTTAGTTTTTTATTTGTGGGTGATTGAATCAGGATTATACAGGAGTTTAGTGTTTATGCCTGGACTACATAGGGTTAAGTGTAATTAAGTGAGGTTAACCAATACTAAGGTTTACCCACACTACCCCTTGTAGAGTGACAAAAATGCAAGGTAAAGTTTACCCACACTAGGTGTTTAGACCCTTCTCAGGCCATCTTGGAAAACATTCTTTGCTCACTAGACTTTCCTTTAATTGTTGATGAGTATCTTCTTTCCTTCATACTTGTGCCATATGATGTTAAAGTTTTTATCTTTCATACTTCGTAATTGTTTTGAGTTGGGGCCTTGGAGGTAGTATTGTCACATATTCCTTTCTATAAAGGATCTTATCTGAGTTTTAACATCCTTGATATAACACCATAAACCTGTTGTACTTTGCTCTTACCTTTGCATACTGCTATTGCCTTCCTCTAATTCTGCCCATTGCCATTTCAAGATATTACTTTTGTTTTTTATCAGGTGTTGGTGCATAACTTAATTTGTTTTGATAGATGGTTTTGTGCTCAGCCTAAAAAAATTCTGCCAGCTAATGTGAACTCGGAAACATAGTAATTGATAACTATGCAAACTCAGTACATTCTTTATATCGGAGCACTATTTAATTGATGCATTTCTCTTACTGTTTGTTTGGGAGTTAGATTTTGAAGGGGCATTGGAAGGAGGGGTGGGGTTCTATAATATGTTGTTTATGGCTTATGGTAATTTCAACATTTCATTTTCTGAATTTTGGCAGCCATGCATTGATAATTCAACTGGTCATGCTGACCACAAGCCTGCAGTTTGTAATCCAACCACAGTCCCCATGAATGATTTCAAGCCATTTGGATGCAACAACTATGACCTTTACATAGCAGTAGAAAAATCAAACATAAGGGACAATCATGAAATCTCGTGCCATTTCAATGATGGTAATAGTGATGCTGATCTCATTGTTTTTGAAGAAAAATCAGTTCTTGATTCAAGTTGCATTAAAAATAACAATGAATGCTTCAAGATTCCGGATCTTGATTCATCAGCATTCACGATTAGCGCTCTCAACAAACACCCAAAGCCTGAAGATGACATTTCACCACTAAAAGATGATAAAGACTCGAACTTGCAGTGTAATCTTCATAGTGCTATCAAAGATATCAGTATCGATATGGGGGTGCCTCTAGTGGACAAGATTTTTACCAAAAATTTGAGCTGTGATAAAAATGACAACTTGGGAGAAGATGTTCAAAAGGAAACACTTTCTGGGGAGACAACAAAAACAGAGGACACTAAAATTGTTGATATAAAACCAGTTTTATCTGAATCAGCTAAGGGCACTTACATAGAGGATGAATTGATGGAGCCTTTAGGCTCAAAATGTCATAGGACTGGAAACGCAGCAGATGATTGTCAGGTTCTGTTCTATGCTATTTTTTTCTTTTTCTGATACTATCACACTTTACTACCAAAAACCACTATCTTAAATAATAGAAGTTCTCAACTTGAAAGTTCAATGTGCAGTATTCTGAATCAAACAAGAACGAGCCTAGTGAAGTTCAATGCAGAGGCACTGTGAATATAACTGAGAATAATGGTGGACACCAAACAGGGTCTGAGTTGCAAGACATGCAGAATAGTGAGGACAAAACCTCTGCTAATGTTTTAATGGGTGATCAAGATGGATTTGCAGATGGAAACACAAGTTTCTCTTCAGTTGGTCCTATGTCCGGTTTGATTACCTATTCGGGGCTGGTCCCGCATCCCGGGAACATTTCTATTCGTTCAGATAGCAGCACAACCAGCACGAGATCCTTTGCTTTCCCAGTGTAAGCACCCTCCAAATTTCTCTATTTCTGGTCCAATGCAGTCTCTTGGACTTCTTCAATGTGCATGTTTATTTCACAATAATGTTTTTCCAAAACTTGTTTTTCAAACCAATAATAGATCTGGTGAAAACCCACAAAAAGTTAGGTCTTGTGAGGGTTCGTGTATGCAAACCTTACCTCTACTATGTAGTAAAGATGCTGTTTCCAAATCAGGAAGATAAAATGAACAATGCGATTAAACACAAGCTGCTCTTTGGTAAAAAAAACATGTTTCTGATACATGGAAAATTATTAAAGGTGCGAAACAACGTCTGATGTTTGGATGGATTCTTGATGTTTTGTGGATTCAGGTTACAATCAGAGTGGAATAGCAGTCCGGTGCGAATGTCAAAAGCAGAAAGGAGGTACAGAAAGCAGAGGGGTTGGAGGCAGGGTCTTCTCTGTTGTAGATTCTAAAATCTTTTTCCATTTCATTCTTTAGGGCTCGTAGATCGATCACATATCATTTACCATACATATAATGAAAGATCACAAGTTGTGAGCAGACGATGTTGGATTCGGATACATGTCGATAGGATTAGGGAAGAGCGTCGAATTCGAGTTGTAATCAGAAGCCAAACTGTGCCTTAAAATTTATGGAGTGTCTCCCAAATCATATTGCTGAGCTTTGACATCACTCATGATCTTGTTATATTTTGCTTTTCTTTGTGGGATTTAGTGGCGTAGAAGTACAATAACATACTGTTTGATACTTTTTATTTTTTGAAGGAGTTTGATACTTTTTATGGTTTTTAAAGATAGTTGAAAAAATGTAAAAGTTTACTAAAATATAAAATGTGAGTGAGATGTAATAAACAAAATAAGTGTGGGTAATTGTGGTATATTAAATATTAAAAAATGTAATGAAAAGATTTTTTCTAGAAAAACAAAAAAGGACGTTTGAAAAGACCTATGATGGACGTATGAAGTTTAAAACAAATTAATTTGAAATAGATGAAAAAAGAAAATAGATAATGTAAAAAGTGACAAATGAACTATTTTTTTAATTTTTTTTCCAATTAATTTTAGCTCACTTCAATAAAATTCAATATATTTTAACTCGATTAATAAAGATTAATTTCTTTTGAAAAATTTCAAAAGAAAAGGTTGATAAAATCATAAATAAATCAACCGTGTTTCACCAAATGTTTATAATAATTTTATGAGTAATTTACCCAAATAGGACTAAAATATAATGACTTTCTCAATATAGACCATATGTTTTTATTTTTCAATGTAGGACATTTGGTCATTATCCATTAGTCATTATTCAAGTAAATGTCCAGCATCACTTGGACACTAATTCTCCCACAAGACATTATTAAGTCGTATTTAGGAAATAACAAAGTTTAAATCCTATATTAAGAAATAATTTATGTTTTAATCTTATTTAGTACAAATTTTACTAATTTTATACTCCGTACCTCTTTGAATTTCACACGTAAAACTCGAATGTTTTGTATCACTCGCAACATGACAGAATTTTGTCATGTACAAAAATGAACAACTCTTTAGTACACTCCATAAAAAAGTGTCAAAGTAGTATCGCAATTAGTAGCATTTGACAAAAGTTTAATCCTAAAACAAATTCCCACCCAAGAAAACGAAAAGACGCGCAGAAAAATGCAGGGGCTACGAAGCGACGCAGACAGACGGCAAAACCAAATGTATTATCCCTTTCTCCACCTCCCCAACAATTCACACTTTCTTCTTCTTCTTCTTCTCCAACTCTCTCTTCTTCAGTCTTCACTCCGTCGGCAGCCAACCTTCTCCGCCGTGGTCCGCCATCGACCGCCGAACAGTATCATCTCATGTCGAAGTTCACTTGGAGGATCGAAAACTTCTCTAAATTGGACGCTAAAAAGCTCTTCTCTGTGGCTTTTATCGTGAACGACTACCAATGGTATATGACCCATTTCCCATATTTCTCATGTTTCTATATATGGTCCAAAACCATCTTCTTCTTTTTTTATTATGCAGGAGGCTGAGTCTTTATCCAAAAGGGAACAATGCCGACCGCCATTTGTCGCTGTACCTCGGCGTGGTTCGCTCGTCCGCTCTACCCGATGACTGGAGTATAAAAGCAAAGTTCAGCCTGGCTCTCATTAACCAGATTGACAGAAACAAAACCATCAAGAAAGGTACTCCTTCCGTCCCAAAAAGTTTGTTACGTTTAGAAAAAACTGTGTCCCATAAAGTCCGTTACATTTCTATCAAAAAACCACTTTTACCCCTTACTTTTTCATACCCTACCTATCACATCATACCTTTTTCCTAATAATCTACCAATCACATCATACTTTTACCCTTCACATCAAGGGTATTTTTGGAAAGTCAATACCAAAATATCCCTCCCTTAATTTTCCAAAAAGTCAAACCGTCCCATTCTTTTTGGGACGGAGGGAGTATTTTTTTCCTGCAATGACTTTTGTGTTCTGTGTTTCTAGTTATGTAGGGTACTCTTGAACTAAGATGATTGCTATGTGCACTCTCAGAGGGTGTCTGGGAGCGTGTTTAATTCTTTTTGTAGAGTAATTTTTCACAAAAGTTGAAAGCAAAAACATCTCATATCTGCTTCTTCGAAAGAGTTTTCTATGGGCAAAATGGTGATGGAGAAGAGCAAAAGTTGTCGTGCCAAACAATATAAAATGGCTACCACCCGAAGCAGAAGCTAAATTCTTAAAAGTAACACACACCCAAACACCCTCTCAGGGTGAGAGTGCATGGTCTTTGATTTATTGCGTGCTTTTGGGGTCCTAAATTCTGTATTTCTATCAATTCGATACAATTCAAATGGTATCGTAATACGGTGTTAAATGAGCGTTCTACTGTTGTGCATTACGCAGACACCGAACACACATTCAATTCTCAAGAAAGTTATTGGGGCTTCACGAAGTATACCAGACTCGATCAATTTCATGACAAAACGGGAGGTTTTCTTGTAGGAGACACATGTTTGATTGAAGCTGAACTGTTTGTCACTGATGCCTCTTCTCCCAAAAAAGTAATTTTATTAGTCTTGCAAGCCATTGGCAAAGTGTGTTTTCTTAATCCTATTTGGTTTTTTTTGTTCTTACAATTTCTTTGTCTTCTCGTATGCGCACGTGATTGCAGGATTTAGATTCATCCGCGGACTCTATGTACATTCAGGCACAATCCCTTCTTGATTCTCTACCCAAGATACAATCTGCCTCAGAAACAAATGTTACCACTACACTTGAAATGCCAATGTTTAAAGGCCATGCAACATATGCAAAAGAAATCCTTGACAAACTGATATCATCTTCTTTGGATGATCTTGCTGATCCCAAGCATGAATCTGCAATGATGCAGTCTTTGTCAACACTTGCCGACAACCTCTCCTTGTTTAGTGATGTGCAAGCCAAAGCAGTTAAGGATTTGAAAGCCACTTATCCGCAAATAATGCAGGAATGGAGGGACTCTAGACAAGTCAAGAAGGGCAGTGACCATCTCTGGACTACTTTCGAGAAGACCAAGAGTTTGCTCGAAGGTTTGGTGAAGACCTACGAGGCGATAGAGACTAAACTGAAGGACTTGGACGACAAGAAGAAGGAAGTGAAAACTGAGCTTGAGGGAGTTAAAAGCCGTATCCAACAGCTGAAGGAGGAGCGGGTAGAAGTATCGGAGCAGACGAAGGTTGTCTGTTCTCTTGCCAAGGATCTGTTTAGCAAAGTGGAGGAAGAAGAGGTGGAGGTGGATTGTGCCAAGAGAAAGCTAGAGCAGAGCTTGAAGGAAAAGTGGGCTTCAATTAGACAACTCTTTGCTTAAGAAAAAAATTAGTTTGTGCCTTTGAAGCATACATAACTTGCAATTTCCAAGCATTTTGTTTTTTTTGGATCTAAAGCATGATGATGCATGGTTTTAGTTTGCCTAGACAATGTCCCAGGTCCTAATTGCCTAACCCTCTTTGTCTTGTCATGTTACTTCTTCTCAATTTTAATTGCAGCTTCTTATTCTCAAGGTCAAGTTTGTTTACTTTATTATTGATTTTTGTTGCACATTTAATAAAATGAGAGATATGTCATATTCCGTAGTTTGTTTGGTAAGACTTTTGATTTAATTTTTAAATATTTAAATAGGGAAAGGTTCTTTTGACTCGAGCAGGCCAAATAGCTCTGGTACCCCCTGTGGTTTGGAAAATTGGCAGTAGGGCCGTAAGGGTGCATACAAATCAAATAAAATGTATTCGATTCGTGATTCGTATTTGAAAAGGATGATTCATATTCGCTATATTCGAATTTGAATACAAATCATATTTTAGATTTGAATTATTTTCGAATTTGAATACAAATATTAATAGATTCGATTCGTTTATTATTCGAATTATTCGAATATTATAATTTATAAATAAATTTATATATATTCTAATATATTAAATATTTGTGTACATATTTTAACATATTTTAATATATTAAATTTTTTTGTACATATAAATTTATATATATTCGAATATTATAATTTATAAATAAATTGATATATATTCTAACATATTTTTACTACATTTTACATTATTATAAAATAATAATTTAATGTCTTTAAGAAATCTGTTTTAAGAAAAAAATTAGTAATATTTTCGAATTTGAATATTCGAATACGAATTCAAATACATCAAATGTCTATCGAATCGAATACGAATTTTTTTAAAATTCGAATTATATACAAATCCGAATTCGAATACATATCACTTTAATCGAATACGAATCGAATAGTGATATATTTGCTTCGATTCGTATACACCCCTAATTGGCAGCAATACCCTCTCTGTTTTCAAAATTTATTTCCAAAGTCCCCGTGGTTTCAAAGCGTTGCACCCACACCCCCTCTGATTATTTTCCGGCGAAGAGGGGGCAGTGGCGCATAATTTACATACCATGGGGGGCATTCATGCTCATTTCTTATTTTCCTTTATTATTCTTCCCTTTTTTAAAATATTTTCGATCTCTTTTTCCTTTTCCTAGATTTTTTTTAAAAATATATTTTCAATTTTTTATAATGTTTCAAAAATTTTCAAATTCTTTGTGTTTGAAATGAAAATAAAAATAAAAAAATTAACATACATTACATGTATCTCAAATTAAACATTTTCACTTTTTGTTACTTAGAATAAATTTTTGGAAAGTTCAAAAAAAACAAAGAATAAAAAATAAAATTATGGAACAACAAAATGAAAAAATTAAAATACGCAAAAAAAGTCTTATACAAAAAAAATTGGACACGCCTAAAAAAGTTCTTATAATTGAGATGTCTAAAAAGGATTTCCATTTTTATTTTTGTATTAATTTGTTTCTTATTTTATTCCTCATTTTTTTGAAGTTCTCAAAAAAAATTACTTTTTTTCAAAAAAACAAAAATTGTTAATTTAAGAAGTACATATGCATTATATGTTAATTTTTTGAAACAAAAATAACTTTAAATTTTAAGAATATTATAAAAATAATTTTAAGAAAACCTTTATTAATAAATGAAACAAAAAAAAGGAAAAAATGGGAAAAACAAAAAATATGTAAGAAATAAAAATCAGCACTGATACCTCTATGGTTTAAAATATATGCACCAATGCCCCCCTTCTTCGCTAGAAAAATGGCCGAAAAATGATCAGAGGGGGAACGGGTGCAACAATTTTGAAATCATTGGGACTTTAGAAATAAGTTTTGAAAACAGAGGGGGTATTACCGTATTGGTGCTTGTTTTGCAAACCACGAGGGGTATCAGCGCTATTTGGCCGACTCGAGCAAAAAATGATCCAAGAATGACTTGGGCATTTTGGGACACTTATGGTGCTTCGTTTATAAGATTGATGATTCTTATTCTCTTCAGTTATTCTAAAATTCAAATACTTTGTTGGGCGTTGCGCAGTTGGCAAGACAAGGGGTGTCAAGGGGGTAAGATGCGAGTTCGATTCTTGGCAACTGTGCTGGGAGGCAACTATGCGAAGCATAGAGCCTCTGCAAGTACCAAGTGTAGGCTTCATTCTTTCCCACTGATCTACGATTAAAGTTCATTTTACCTACTCTCAGTTACCATCTGGCTGGGTCTGAAAAGGTCTTTGGAGATGAGGCTCATCTTTTTTTTCAAATACTTCGTACTTTGTGGTAACCATCACATTAAATGAATATGATGATGGCTTTGTTGTTGTTGTTTTATATAATCCTTAAACATTACAGAGTATTTTAATATAACTACACAACACCTAATAATTAAAATGATATTAATGAGTTGTCAATTCATTATTTCATATCATGTTAATCAAAATTATTTTATGCAATTAAACTCAAAGCTCACTTAGCCACACCAGAGTATAAAATGATAAAATCTGGATGTATTGTTGTGAATTTTTCCTCCTATAATGATTTTTTCCCATCCCATGTTTGGTGAGAATCGAATTTGCATAATGCATTGTACACCAGCTTTTCTTGCACCGTACATTTCTTATTCATTATCAAATTTTGTTATCCATGCCAAGATAGTATGAACTAATACACGGTGCACACTATTTTACACGGTGTGTTGCATTGACACACATTGATACTATGGATGTGTTCCTTTGTCTGATTTTTTGAAAATTTAATCTGGTCCGTTTTAATATGATTGTGATTATATTTAAAATTGTTTAATCTAATTTAGTCTGATCTGATTTAATTATAATAAGAATAAATATTAAGAAGAAAAATTATGTTAAACAGAACACTGCCTTTATGAATCATATTAAGTGTGATCAAAAGATTGTACTCAAAATGTGTAACATAAAAGTTTACATTGTTAGTATGACCATAAAAGTTTGTATAGACATTTTACATTAATATAAGTTATCAACCTCATATTTACATTGACAAAAAATTGTAAATATAAACTAAAAAAAATGTACGGAGTAAATACAAACTTTTGAAATACATGTAAATTTATTCTTTGTTGTATTGTGCCAATAGAACAAATGATGAAGGTGACCTTTTCTTTGTCCCAATGACAATCGATACTGACGGGAAGTGGAGTCGTCGGAAACAGGGGAAGATAAAGTTAGGAGAAAGATGGAAAGGTGTTGCCAGAGACATACATACACGAAGAACTCTGTCATAGGTTTCTTCTCCAGAGACCAATTAATAAGCAAAGTGTAATATGAGATGTCGAAATTCACTTGTCTCTGTACCTTTGTGTGGCCGATTCATCATCTATCTCACCCGCAGAATCGAGTACGCCCACAAAGTACAGTATATCTATCGTTAACCAGTTCGACTCCAACAAAACCATCAAGTTAGGTACTTCAATAAAACTAGTGTTGTTTGCTTGCAGCCATGTTTTTGTACATATAAATTTATCTATATTCGAATATTATAATTTATAAATAAATTGATATATATTCTAAGATATTTTTACTACATTTTACATTATTAGAAAATAATAATTTAATGTCTTTAAGAAATCTGTTTTAAGAAAAAAATTACTAATATTTTCGAATTTGAATATTTGAATACGAATTCAAATACATCAAATGTCTATCGAATACGATTTTTTTTTAAATTCGAATTATATACAAATCCGAATTCGAATACATATCACTTTAATCGAATACGAATCGAATAATGATATATTTGCTTCGATTCGATTCGTATGCACCCCTAATTGGCAGCAATACCCTCTCTGTTTTCAAAATTTATTTCCAAAGTCCTCGTGGTTTCAAAGCATTGCACCCACACCCCCTCTGATTATTTTCCGGCCATTTTCCGGCGAAGAGGGGGCAGTGGCGCATAATTTACATACCATGGGGGGCATTCGTGCTAATTTCTTATTTTCCTTTATTATTCTTTCCTTTTTTAAAAAATATTTTCGATCTGTTTTTCCTTTTCCTAGATTTTTTTAAAAAATATATTTTCAATTTTTTATAATGTTTCAAAAATTTTCAAATTCTTTGTGTTTGAAATGAAAATAAAAATAAAAAAATTAACATACATTACATCTATCTCAAATTAAACATTTTCACTTTTTGTTACTTAGAATAATTTTTTGGAAAGTTCAAAAAAAACAAAGAATAAAAAAATAAAATTATGGAACAACAAAATGAAAAAAATTAAAATACGCAAAAAAAGTCTTATACAAAAAAACTGGACACGCCTAAAAAAGTTCTTAGAATTGAGATGTCTAAAAAGGATTTCCATTTTTATTTTTGTATTAATTTGTTTCTTATTTTATTTCTCATTTTTTTGAAGTTCTCAAAAAAATTACTTTTTTTCAAAAAAACAAAAATTGTTAATTTAAGAAGTACATATGCATTATATGTTAATTTTTTGAAAAAAAAATAACTTTAAATTTTAAGAATATTATAAAAATAATTTTAAAAAAAACCTTTATTAATAAATGAAACAAAAAAAGGAAAAAATGGGGAAAACAAAAAATATGCAAGAAATAAAAATCAGCACTGATACCCCTATGGTTTAAAATATATGCACCAATGCCCCCTTCTTCGCTAGAAAAATGGCCGAAAAATAATCAGAGGGGGAACGGGTGCAACAATTTTGAAATCATTGGGACTTTAGAAATAAGTTTTGAAAACAGAGGGGGTATTACCGTATTGGTGCTTGTTTTGCAAACCACGAGGGGTATCAGCGCTATTTGGCCGACTCGAGCAAAAAATGATCCAAGAATGACTTGGGCATTTTGGGACACTTATGGTGCTTCGTTTATAAGATTGATGATTCTTATTCTCTTCAGTTATTCTAAAATTCAAATACTTTGTTGGGCGTTGCGCAGTTGGCAAGGCAAGGGGTGTCAAGGGGGTAAGATGCGAGTTCGATTCTTGGCAACTGTGTTGGGAGGCAAATATGCGAAGCATAGAGTCTCTGCAAGTACCAAGTGTAGGCTTCATTCTTTCCCACTGATCTACGATTAAAGTTCATTTTACCTCCTCTCAGTTACCATCTGGCTGGGTCTGAAAAGGTCTTTGGAGATGAGGCTCATCTTTTTTTTCAAATACTTCGTACTTTGTGGTAACCATCACATTAAATGAATATGATGATGGCTTTGTTGTTGTTGTTTTATATAATCCTTAAACATTACAGAGTATTTTAATATAACTACACAACACCTAATAATTAAAATGATATTAAAATTCATTATTTCATATCATGTTAATCAAAATTATTTTATGCAATTAAACTCAAAGCTCACTTAGCCACACCAGAGTATAAAATGATAAAATCTGGATGTATTTGTTAGGCATATATGGCAAGAAGTGTAGTTATGGTAGAATTGTTATTTATGTTAGTTTCCATATTTGGTGAATCCTAATTCATGTAGGGATTCTCACCTATATAAACACCCATGTATACAATTATTCAGTTGAGTTGGATTACTAAATCAACATGGTATCGGAGCACAAAGATCCTAACCTCTCTCTTCCTTTCCTGCGCTAATCACCGAAAAAAAATCGGCAGAGCCGATCTCTCCACTGCCGATCACGCCGTGCATAGCCATGGCTTCTACCTCGTCTGATCCTATGGATCGTCTTCCTACGGGGCTCAAGTTGTTTGTTCGGAATCTCCAATCCCTAACCCCGGTCAAGCTTGATGACACCAATTATCCCTCTTGGTCGGCTACCGTCCGTGCCAATCTCCTCGCTCATCGTCTTCTCGGCTACGTGGATGGGTCTGAATCGTCTCCTCCGTCTTTTGTCCTTGATGAAAACGCTGCGGCACCCGGCAAGGATCAACCGCCGGTCATGAAACCAAATCCGGCCTATGAATCCTGGAATATTATTGATGCTCAGATTCGGGCCTGTCTCCTTGCTATTGTCTCACCCACGGTTCAAACACATATTCATGCTCTTCCCACCTCGGCTGCAATCTGGAATCATCTAGAACAACGGTACAATTCTCTTTCCCGAACTCATATTTTTCAACTGAAGGAGCGATTACATGGTGTTACAAAAGGGACCGATTCGATGCAATCNACAATCGTCTTCTGTGACAATGTCAGTGCTGTGTACCTATCATCAAATCCGGTGCAACATCAGCGCACCAAGCACGTCGAGGTCGATATACACTTTGTACGCGATAAAGTGGCACTTGGTCAGATCAAAGTTCTCCATGTTCCTTCATCTTCTCAGTTTGCCAACATCTTCACGAAAGGACTGCCCTCCCTCTTATTTCTTGACTTCAGAGAGAGCCTGGGTATCCGACCCCCAGCGCATCCGACGTAGCCGGGAGCATGTTAAATATATAAAATATATTTAATATTATTGTATTATGATTTGTTTCCATAGTTTTATAGTTTCCTAGAATATCTTCTCCTAACATAACTAGGATTGAGACTTTGTATATATATACATGTATTCCTCTCATAATTAATCAATGAAAATACCACTTCTTCAACTAAGACCCTGGGTCAAATAATTGACCGACTCTTTCAATCCCTGAAATTGACTTAACAAGTCATGGGATTGAGCCGGATATTTCTTCTCTAAATTGGCAATCTTTTCCTGAAATTTTTCTTCAAATTTTTTCTCCAATTTCAGATCCAATTCGGTCTTCAGTCGTGCAACAGTCTTTGTGGCTAGTGCCTCCCGAAGAAAGTGATCCGGAAGATCCAGCTTCACAGCCCTGCCCAAAGACCCAGTTCTTGTTGTTCCCCACCACCTCAACGTACAACCCAATGTCATCTTCTAGTTCTTCCTCAGCAACATCATCAAGACTTATAAAATTGGACACAGATTCGGATGCGGCTTGCTGCTTTAGAAGGAGCTTCTCCTTGTAGTTTTTCTACATAAATCACAATTTAAAGAACTTATTAAAATATGATTAAATTTTTTGTGTAAACAATATTTACTAATTGCATTTAAAATAAATAAATAACCTTGATTTCAGCAACTTCTTGAGACGGCTGGGAACCCTTCTTCACAAACAAGTGGTTAATGACCTTGAGTTGATTTGGAACGACTTTGTCCTCCTCCTCCTACTAAAAATTAAATTGAAATAAAAAACTGGAATAAGTATGGTAAAGACTACAGAAAAACACTAACCATCTTCTTGATGTGCTCGCTCACGGAACGACGCCCCCATAATATTGCCTTTGCTTTGCCTTCTTCGTGTTTCGGTTTTTGCTCGACCTCTCACTCTTTGATCGAAAATCTAGACTTCCCCAATACTTAACCATCGTTTCCCAGTGATCTTCTCCCACAAAACTCGGCTTCTTATTTTTTGTTTCGGGCATTCATGAACCTCTTCGTCAACCATACGGACCCGCGGGAATTAAAGATGCTCCTCATGACTTTTTCTGTGTCCGCCGGCAAAACCGCGGGCAACCATGTGTAACGAAGCTATAAATGTCATAAAAATAAATTAGTATTGGAATAAATCATCTAAGCGTAATTCTAAAAAAATAAAATACTTACGCGAAATAGGTTCCACCATCGCTGACGAACTTCCTTGGGGGCGGTTGTGTAGGTATGCCACGGCCCATAAAAACTTTCTTTGATTATGCCTTTAATTGTGTTTAGGACAGTTTGTTGGCTGGAAAAAAAATAAAAAACTTAAATAATCATACAAATAATATATGAGATAATAAAAAGCAAAAAATTACCCCTTCAATTCGGACTTAGTGATCAAGCGCGGAAGATCCCCGTACAGCACCGCACTAGCCTCCGTTGAAACTTCGTCTCCTCCTTCGCTGCCTCCTCCGCCCTCTACCTCGACCTTAGCCTCCAAGTCGCCACCGGCATTGAATATAGACTGCGGGGTGGTGGTATATGGTGATTCCGGTGGTGCTCGAGAGTGAGAACGCTGAAAGCTTCCCCTACCATGAATGCTACCGCGGAAGGAAGTGCTCCTAGTGGAAGACATTGAAAGCAGAAGGGGTTATGAGGGAGGAGGGCGGAGGAGGGACAGCGACGGAGAAAGAGATAGGAGGAGGAGAGTAATTAATGAAAAAAATGAGAAAATCCTTGTAAGGGGTGGTAATATACTTAAACCGTAGGCACGGAGGTAAGAACGTCCCCAACCGTGCCTATATCGAGCAGTAAATATCAGATTCTTGGGTAATGGTGTAGGCACGGCAATTGCCGTGCCAAAATTCAATATCTCTGCGTGTGTCAGGGTTTTTGTGTGAAATCCATGCTAGGCACAGCTATTTCCGTGCCTAATAGAGGGCATTAAACATGACAGTTTTTGGTAATTGCGTAGGCACGACCCTTTCTGTGCCCAACAAAATGAACTCTTCGTTTGTGGGGGTGCATTAATAGCATATCATAAAACGAATTTATTGGGTTTGTATGTAGGCACCGCGGTTGCCGTGCCAAACTAAATGCCTATGCAAGTGTGTCAAGCTTTTGTATAGGATCAAGTGTAGGCACGGCCAAATTCGTGCCTAAACGTGTGCATTAATTACTGAATTTTATGGTTATAGCGTAGGCACGTCCTTATCCGTGCCAAACAAAATATCTCTGCGATTGTGCCAGGCTTTTGTGTAGTAACGCTTGTTGGCGCGGCTATAGCCGTGCCTAATGTCAAGCAATAATTGTTGCATGTTGGATAACGGTATACGCACGGCTATTTCTGTGCCTACACCGTTGTCTGGCTTACAGTGCTTGCATGGGTTTCATCAACTCTCAGTAAATTCCTACAAAAAAGGAAAATATTTAATTGTACTCCTCGGTCCTTAGAAGATTGTCACAGTTTAATTTTTTTATATAATTTTGACATTTTTTTATCACGAATTTAATATTTTTAAAAGATTTAAATATTACAAAAAATTAATATTTCAAAACTTTATTTTAAAGTAAACCCAGTTTTATTAAATTTATATTATAAGTAAATATACTATTTCCATAATTTATGGTGAAAAAGGGTCTTTTAAGAACGGAGAATATACTATAATACAGACAATAGCATATAAAAATAGGGAAACTTGCAATTTGAAATATTAGTCAGATAATAGCATATAAAAATCCAATGAAAATACACAAGTATGCAAAGAAGTACGAAAATTACATCATTCACTCTCATAATCATCATCAATATAAACTTCGTCTTCTTCGGTATCTTCACTAGAAATCCATTCCTCTTTTTCGAAATTGTTAAGTAATTCTTCCACCTGAATTTCACCGCCATTAGTATCTTTAAAAAAGATACCAACTTGAGTTGTTTCAACAATTGGTGGCGGATGAAATTTTTTTTGTTGAAATGCTTCAAAATCAACTTCCCTCGCGGTTGCATGAGTAATGATTTTCCGTGGTCGAATGGAACACGCACAAAGCCAGGGAGATGCGCGTTGACGAGTCGATGGATACTTGGAATAGTAAACTTGTGCACTGTTAAGTCGGGTTTGGTTTGGTTCTTTTTATTCTTTTTTAGGCATTTTTAATATTTTTAGTGTTTAGTTTCTAGTTGTTTTGTTTAGTTTTATTTTAATTTTAATTTTCACAATCTTTTTATTTTCTTTCAAAAATAGTAGTTTTTTTTAATCACTTTTTACATTTTATTTTATTTTTCCTAACCCAAGTTATCAGATATATTATTTTTGGAGAAAAAATGTAGCAAAAGGCCGAATCAAAAGTCCAAGTTTTAAAGGAAAGAGATCGAATTTGGGCCGGAGCCCAAAACCCATCATTAAATCAATAAAAGAAGAGTAGCCCAAACTTCACTCCTCCTTCCACATTATCTTCACGCAAGAAAAGAAAAAAGAAAAAAAAGAAACGAACGGCGTTTCTTCATTGCAGAGAGGAATGAGTAAAAACGGCAAAGCATTCAACGCTCCAACGTTCGGCTCCATCAATTGCGCGACAATCAATTCTCAACGGGAAGAAACCTCCTTGCTATAAATTGAAGTGCAATTGCAACTGAAAGAGCGGGGGAAAACGAAAAAACGACGAGTGAGAGAGCCGCGGCTCAAGCCGCGGTGTAGTGGCCGGCGGTCGACGATGACCGGCGTGGCAGCAGCTCCGGCGGTGACAAGCCAGCAATGGTTCCTCCAGCTCCAACTTCTTCAATTTCTTCATCTTCTTCAACATTTGGTAACTAATTTTTTTGTTCTCCAATTCTATGTAAAAGTTTGTTTTTTTGTTCAATTTTTACATGTTTGTTTGCTTGTTGTGTTTATTTCATAATATTACAAAAATGGTTGGTGTTCTTCTTTTAGGTTTTTTTTATGTTTATATTAAATCCCTCATAAATGAGAATTGATTCAAACTAGTTTTCTTCAATTATTGAGCAAGTTGTTGTTGAATTGGTTGAATTTTATAATTTGATTTCGTAAGTAGGTTGATTTGTGGAATTCGGTTTTTGTTGAATCTATTTTAGCTCCATAAGATAGTTAAATGATTTCCGAATTCATATGTGATTCTTTTTTGTGATTTGTGTTTGTTGATTTTAAGGATTTTGGACTTCTTAGCCTCATAAGTTGATTCATTCTCCTTAGAATTCGTTATTGAGTGATTGTTATTTTCTCGTATGTTTGTGTCAAAGAACCAATTCAACCAAAAGCTCAAGCTTGTGGTTGTGGCCCAGGAACAGTTATTTATATTCCAACACGCCCCCTTCACGTGCAGGCGTAGTCTTTTTCAAGCCTTGCACGTGAAACCATAATTTTTTTAAACTGGGTAGGGCTGAGTTTCGAACCCGTGACCTTTTAGTCAACGAGGCTTTGATACCATGTCAAAGAACCAATTCAACCAAAAGCTCAAGCTTGTGGTTGTGGCCCAGGAACAGTTATTTATATTCAAGCTCAAGTTTGTTTGTTATTTTCATTAAATTAAGGTTGTTTAAGCTCAAAAACAATTTTTGATTTAGTGAAAATATGTTCTATTCATCTATGTGAATAGAAAAAACGTCATTGGTTTGAGGAGTCCATGGAAATCTGTGAAATGTGCTCATCATTAGGAGAAAAAGTTTGTTAAAATGCATAAGGTATTGGCGGTTTGTGAATAGATTATGTATGAGAGTTGAATGCATAATAAAGTCTCTCTTTTATAAACTTTTTCTATAGTGGAAGTATGTTTTCATACTTGAATAGAGAGTTGGGGTTCTAAGGTATATTTCAAAACAGGCCTTTGAATTGCATGACTACGGGCCGTGTGGAGAGTTGACAATCCTCCATATCATGGTTAAGGAAATGAATCGACTCGGCCTTTGATTGATTTTTTCTATTCTTAAGTGCGTAAGTTACGTAATATATTGTCTACGTGCCTATTATATGTGTAATGTTCAGCTTGTGTTTGTTCTCTTTTTTCATTTTGTTACCGGTTCTTGGCAGTGTTTCTTGGGTTACCTTAGTTGGAGAAGTTGATTATCTTTTGAGCTTGTTTTCTCCATTTTATCAAAAAAACCAAAAAAATAAGAAAATACATAAAAACCAAAAATATTTACTTTTCATTCAACCCCCCCCCCACCCCCCCTTTGTGTTATATAAGTATAAGTTTTATTTAATCAGTGTATATTATAAGTAGTTGTTTATAAGTTATGAATATAAGTTCTTTATACTATATTTTTAGTATGTGTTTTATGTTTATAGTTATATTATAGTTCTTCATTTATAAATTAAATTTATAAGTTTTTATATTTATTTAGTTATAAGTTTTATACGTCTTATTACATGTGTAGTAGTTTTTTTGTGACAATGTGTTTGCATGCTAAATTGGTTTTAAAAAGTGCAAACTTTCTCCGTGGGATCGACCCTTACTTGCCCTAGCTATAGTTTTTAATTTGATTATATATTGGGGGTTAGCTAAGGATATTTTATAAATTTTTAATTTGTTTTGGACCGCACGACAAGTCCTCAACATGCACCTTGTTGCGCCAGAATAAATTGTTCATTTGTCCGATATATCTTTGATTCATTAACATCAACAATATTAAACTTAGGATGCTTTCTCACACCATGTATTGGGTCAATCCAAGTGCATTGGAAAAGAACAACTTTAAATTCCTTTGAGCCCGCAAACGTGAACTCAAGTATATTATCAAGAGTGCCATAACAATTAGTTTCGTTATTGTCATAACTACATGTCGGGACATAAATGCCACTGTTCATTGATTGACGTGTTAGACAAGGCGTGCAACTCTAGAGGGGGGAATAGAGTTGTTGAGAATGTTTACCGATTTTTGCAGGATTAAATAAGATAAACGAAAGTGCAGCGGAAATAAAATAGAGAAGGCAAAGAACACACCGATGTATACTGGTTCACCACCTCGTGGCTAGTCCAGTTCCCCGAGAGACTCTCTCGAAGCTACCACTACTTCCGTTAAGCTTACGGGTGCTTAACAAACCGTTTACAACTCGAGAACTTGAATCCCACAAGCCTCGACACAACCGCTCGTAGATATGCCCTCTACAAGACTTCACAACCAAGACTTAAATCACATAAGCCTTGAACAACAAGAAGAACAATCTTCTTCAACCTCTCAACAATAGCTCTCAAAAGAATAGATAAGAGAAAAGATTAAAGCTCTAATGGATGACAAGAAACCTCTCTTAAAAACAAATATTTTCTCTCAAAATAATATAAATTTGAGGAAGGATTGATGGGGGATTAACACCTCAAGAATGGAGAGTATTGGAGTGTTTCTTGTTATGAAAAATGACCAAGGAAGAGTGTTTAAATAGGAGGTGAAGAAATATATCCGTTGGTCCAAGAAAAGAAGCTGTACAGAAAAGATGCAGCATAATAATCGATTAATGCATCACCAATAATCGATTAATGCATCATCAGCAACGATCAATGCAGCTGAAGGAAAATCGATTAAATTAAAGGGATTAATCGATTAGAAGGTTCTGTGAAAACTAATCGATTAAAAGGAAGGAAAAAATCGATTAACCTCAAGACCTGAGAAATCCAACGCTAAACAACATAATTAATCGATTAAGCACTTAAGGTTTAATCGATTAAGTTAAAGTGAAATAAGATCTAATCGATTAATGTAGGAATGTTAATCGATTAATAAAGAAATAATGCGCAAACACAAAGGGCCCAAGGCCAGTTGCGGTGGAGAGCAGAATTGGCGTAACACTCGTTGTTTGAGACAACGGGAATCAGGGAAGCGCTCCTCCTCTCTTATTCAATGAATTTGAATAAGGGAGTAAAGTGAGTCCAAAAATATTTTGTGTGTCAAACGATGTACACGAAAAATATTTGAATAAAATATTTTTGCTTGCCAAAAATATTTTATGATATCAAAATAGATATTTGATAAATGTTTGGCACACCTTTTGTAACTGACTCAATAAAACTATCTTGAACAGTTAAAAGATTTTTCAACTGACTCCAAAAATAAATATAATTTTTACTTTAACTCTCATAAAAATAATTTTGGAGAGAAGATATAAATTTTTGTCATCCTTACAATAATTCCTAAGACTCAAATAAATAAAAAGTCTTCGGAAATCTTCTACTCCTCCGAGTCCTCTGTTAGGCGCTCCGAACGCGTCTCGAACTCCAATAAAACCCTGTGCACCTTCTTGAATACTTCAAGGAATGGCACTTCAAGTCTTCGCGTTTGTTGTTGTAGCACTTTGATCTTGACTTGAATAAATTGTGTTTGTCAATTATCAAAACCTGTGAGTCAACACTTAACAACACAGAAAGGGTTGAACTCATGCATTCCAACATGACGACCCTCTCCATAAATCAAGGTGTGGTAATTATAACCGTTCAAAAAAATATCCAGGATATGTTTTAACCTGGCTTGAAGGACCCCACGCTAATGATTCAAGAAACCAATCATAAGTTCCAGGCGCTGCACTAGTTATCTGCATATGGTAACACATGGAATAAGATCTTTGTGGCAAAATATAATAATTAAAAGCAATTCAGTTATATTTTTTTTAATAAAAATACCTTTTCTTTGAACCACTCTGCGAACTTTAAATCAACTAAAAAATTCACATCCTCTTGTGAGTAAGCAAATAGACTTTCCCAAAATTCACTATAATTAATAAACGCATTAGTAGTAGCGTGCCTTTAATTAACAATAGTGAAGGAGTCGTTTAGAAAATATCTTACCAATAAAATGGCTCCACCTCCGGGCAATTAACAAGAATGTAGATGTGCGCGATGCGGTATAAATCTCCAGTTATGTATCGCATCGCATGTTTAGTATACCCACGACTAGGGTAGTTAAAAATCGAAAATGAATGAGAACCATCTCCAACATCATCATTCCTCGCAAGTCTTTTACGCCTAGAAACTACACCAGTGTCGAAGTAATAAGATGCAAATGTTGCAATCTCTTGCGTTATGTATGCCTGGCAAATTGAGGCCTCTACATGTGCTTTATTTGTGACCTTTTTCTTTAACTCTCCTAATTTCCTACGAATGTAGAAGAAAAATTAAACAATTTCATATAATTAATAATGTAGTATTAATAATCATAAAAAATAAATTATTTCGTTTAATTATTATACTAACCTCTCGAAACAGTACATCCATCTATAAAAAACAAGACCAGCCACCTTGGTTTCATATGGAAGATGAATTAGAAGATGTTCCATGGAGTCAAAAAATGATGGTGGAAAAACCTTTTCCAAGTTGCACATTATTAATGGTATGTTGCACTCTAAGTCTTCAAGACCGCCAACATTAAGCACCGTGGAACATATACACTGAAATAATTGGCTAACCTCGGTAATAGAATTCCAAACTGATTCAGGAATCATTTCTTTGAGAGCAACTGGGAGTAGCCTTTGCATGATAACATGACAGTTATGACTTTTCATATATCGCATTCTCAAATTAGCAATGTCCATGCAATTTCGTAAAGTTGATGTGTACCCATCTGGAAACCGAAGCGCTGATATCCATTCTAATATTTTCCTTTTTTGATCAGTGCTCAACTGGTATATTGCTTTCACGACCGGACCGTCGCTATCTGGTGCAACAGCAATTTCAGGTCTATCGCAATACAACCATACATCCTTCCTAGAGTTGAGGCCATCTTTTGTCTTATTTGGGAAATTCATCACTGTGTTGAATATGTTATCAAAGACATTCTTCTCAATAT